TGTCGTTACGAAGTGGGAGGGATGTTTCCAGCGAAGTTGGGGGGGACTTTTCGTGCTGAAGGGCGTGAATGACTAGAGTCGAGTTGTAGGTGCATTATGGATGGGAGTTTCCAAAAACAATGCACCCTAATATAGTACCCTAAAATAGTAGGATCCTTATTATAGGGACCCCCAAATAAGGTACCCCTAATTTTCGGAAACTCCCAGATGGGGAGGTTATTGCCAGGTACGGTTGATGATACAAATCCTGCACTACCCATAGTAAGGGATATACCATTATTCCCATGGTCTAGGCTCCTTAAGGTAATGCAGGATTTATATCATCAACCCCAACCCTAAACCTTAAACCCCTATGGATCCCTTAAAGGAACCCCTTAATTAAAGGTACCGTTTTAGGTTTCTTAGGATTTGTATCATCAACCGTACTTCGACCCCTTGTTGTTTAGCCGTTTCGCTTCTGGGCCCCTCCGCTTTGAAGCTGTCAGGTTCAGTTAGAGTGTGATGCCAGCTTAAAGTCAGGGGTTTAGGGTTTAGGAGGGTTTAGGGTTTAGGAGGGTTTAGGGTTTCGGAGGGGTTGTGGTCTGCATTCATGTAGGCTCCTCATCAGATTACCCTTCACTTCTTTAGTTAGGGGCACCAATATCGAAATCCCGCATTCTGGACCTTGGTCAACGGCGGGGAGCTAGTTGCAGGTTTCAGGTTTCAAATGGTTCACTTGGGGAGTGGCTTCATGGGTTGATGCGAGCTAGTTCTCGATGATTTAAGTCCATGGACCATGAAAGTGGACGGTTTAGACTTCAAGTTAGCATAACCTACTTCTCGCAGAGTCCCTTGCATTTCTGCCGCTGGGGCCTGCAAATCCCACCAAGTCCGAGTAAGAACAGGGGTGAGCCAGTGTTGGAAATCCTTAGCAAGATCCGTGCAAGCCTTCTACTGTGGCTGATGTAGACGGATGCAGATAGTTCTCTTCTAAACTAGGGTCCCTTCATAGGTCTCCAGAAGAATAAGGCACCCTGGTAAAAAGGGAACCTACAGGGGACCCTAGTTTAGAGAACTACGTCTTCTGACAGCAGGGGTGACGAGCGATGGACCGAGGTGTTTGACAAGACTCTTAAACCCCAGTAGCAACCCTAAACCCTGAACCCCGAAACCCTGGACCCACCTGCCTACTGGGTCCTTAGTGCAAAATCCGTCCATTACTCCAACCTCCTTTTCGCTAAGCCTTTTCCCTCAAAAGTGGCAAAAGCGAGACCGGTTTCAGCCTTATCCTCTTATTGACGTAGTATCTTATACCCCACCCGACTATTGCGATTATTCATGCCCCAATGTGTTTGACCTCCTAAAACTGACGTTTTGCGAACCATTCAAAGGAGCACTTGAAGGAACCCTATTCCAAAAAAAGGCCCTGATGCTTATCAAAGGACCATGGGACTTAGTAACTAGGGTTATAATTAGGGTAACTATACTTATAACTACGTATAACCCGAATTAAGGTACTTATAACCTTACTCACTTAGTCCCATGATCCTGCAAGTTGTCAGGTTGAACATCGTCAGGTTCACGGTCTTCGCACTTTACCTGGCCGCTTTGCCGCGATGCCCCGGCACACCAAGAATCGATTCCACTGTAGGATTTGGTGTATTGGGGTACCCTAAACCCTAAACCGTAAAGGTTTCTTAGTGGCTGAGTGGATACACTTTACACTTTCTGGGGATACTATTACCCACTATAAACCAGAAAGTGTAAACTTTTTGGGGGCTTATGAACTCAGCCACTAAGGTTTTGTTTAGCATCATAGAAGGCTAGAGGCTTCTCATGCCGAAGGTCCATCCGAGACCCTCCCTTGAAACGGATCTACTTGAAAGCTACACCCTACTTGTATAGTTACCATAATTATAACCCTAGTAAGGGGTCCTTATAGGGATCTATAGGGTTTAGGGTGTAGGGTCTACTTGGAGGATCATGGGACTTAGTAAGTAAGGGGTAGTTATAAGTATAGTTACCCTAATTAAAACCCTATAGTTACTAAGTCCCATGATCCTTTTAAGTAACCGGTAATCCCTGAAGCAGAAATTTGCACTTCACACCCTATGTCCTGAACCATTGACGATGAACTAAGTCCCACGACCCTGATCCCAAAGAGCGCTAAAGTTTCTTGACGCGTTCGGCATGTCATCTGCAGGCCAAGCTTTGGGTTTTTGAGGTTCCGGGGCCCAGGACCCAGGGTTCTGTTGGGAGTTTCTGAAAAATTAGGGGTACCGTATTTTGGGGTCCTTATAAGAAGGATCCTACTATTTAGGTACTATATTAGGGTCCCCTATTTTGGAAACTCCCTGTTGTTGATCCGTCGGGCGCGGATCCTGCAAATTCATGAACCTTTCAGGCTGTCATCGCCATAGTTAGACCGGTAGTAGTCGTCGTCGTAGTAGTAGTAGTAGCAGTAATCGTACTGGCAGTGGCAGCGGCAGCCCGAGTAGGAGCAGGAGCAGGAGCCGCAGAAGTAGCAGTAGCAATAGCATCAGCAGGAGCAGGAGCAGGAGCAGGAGCAGTAGCATCAGCACCGTGAAGTACCAGATTGCGAAAGTCATGTCACTGGTCAATGAAACAAACATACCCAGCCAGGTCATAAATCCTAAACTTCAACCTCCAAATCCCCAACCCTAATCCCCAACCCGCACGTTCACCAGAACTTTCGACGCAGCGAGGCTCATGTCCTGGCTTGCGTTTGGTGGGCTGTCGGCGATACCGAGCTTGGATGGGTTTGGGAAGAAGGCCTCTGGGGGTTCAGGTTTAGGGTTTAGGGGTTTAGGGTTTAGGGTTGAGAGTTCAAGCTTCATTGAAGGGTTCGCTAAGGGGGTTCTACAGGGGTTCTGTAGGGGATTTATGGTTTGGGGCTTGAGGGTCGGGGCAGGGCATTGGTTTTCGGTTGAGGTCCTGTTGTTTGGGAATCTGTGGCTTTATCGAGGCCTCCAAAACTCAAGACTCTGCCCCATAGCGAATTCCAAGAAGAACCCCCAAAAGACTGGATAGGTCTAGTGTTGTGGCTGACATCGGGCTCTTAATTAGATCGTACGGAGTGATGAGTGGCGTCGATGTCGGTGTTCGTCGAGTGTTTTCCGGTTAAGGTTTGGGCCCACGTCAACAGTCGGGTTGGGGTAAGTACAGCATCCAGGGTCGAGTCTAGCGTTGGTCTAGCTCACTCCAAGGATAGTACTTTCCATCTGGGGTGCGAATCAGGAAGAGCTCACAAGTTTCATACTTAATCTTGCAATGGTATACAGATATATATGTATATATATATATATATATATATATATATCAGTGTATGAATTATTTTTCCGCAAACTAGGTTCGCGGATGCACTGATAAGAAGCAGGTCAGAACTCAAGACTTCCAAGTTCATGCCCAAATTTTTACCCTAGCCCCTAAACACCCGAACCTGAAGTACTCGTGAAATTGAAACCCTAAACCCTAAACCAAATTAGAGCCTGGCAGCCTTGAAACCGAAATCCTGTAAAGAAGTAAGCCTCAACATTAAATCACTTGAAACCGAAAGCCTGGAAAACCCTAAACCTCCAGAGCCTGAGCCGACTAAACCTTGGGATACCTTTCAAAACCCTGCGGCGTAAATCCAAAACCCCAAAGCCCAAACCCAAAGCACTAAAGTTCGTAAGTACTACCTGAATCCGATAAGTATGTAGAATAATAGCTTTGTTTATGGGTGTTGAGCCAGTATTTTACTTGCATTCGGTGGTTTGAGTAATGGGGGAACGCCACGAAGCTTTTTCCGCATGCTGCCAGGCCTACAAGACTTGCCTTTCTGGGAACAATACACCTCGGCCGTCCAGTCACTTTGATGCCTCAACGTTCATGAGTTGCCTTTGTTCTTGCTCGTTCGCAGCTCCTTAGAATTGAAAGGTTTGCTTCTCTTCGGGGACTTAGAGTTTTTATGTTTAGTTGTGCTTCCATAGGATGTAGGATACCTAAACTGAGGTTTTAAAACTTGAAGCTTTTATCTCCAAAACCCGAGCTTCTCAGGCTCAGTCGAAGCCGTACAACATCTGGCAAGTCCCATGGAACCTTACCTTAGGTCTCCAATGTAGGGTTTAGGGTTCAGGGTCCTTCTTTAGTTTAACCACTGTTATATTTAGGATCCTATGAGGAACCCAAATAATATAAAGGAACTACAGTGCAAACTTATAGAACTGTAGGTACAGCCCTGAACCCTGAGTCCCAGTTTTCCGATGCAGCATGTGGGTCATTCTTCCTCCTCGTGTTGTGGGGATGTCAACCCACAACTGTCAAAGTACCAATTCAGTTTATACTGAGCCCTAAACTCAATGCCTCAATGGCCGCAGTATCTGCTATAAGAGATTTGGATCCGCAACCACCAGATTCTAGATAAATTACGAGGACCCCTAATTCCGCGAAACCCCTATGCATGGTGCTGCTTTCCAAGTGCTGGTGTTTGTGACGATTGCGGCAAGGACAAGCCATGGCCTGTGACTTGTAGAGGAAGGTTTCGGATTCTGGGTTTAGGGTTTATAAGGGTTTAGGGGTTTAGGGCTTATACGGTAACGCCGAAGACTCGCGGATACGGCGACCGAGCCTTGAAATCAAAGCAATGCCCACATGTTCGAAGCGTCGTAGGCATGTGGGGGGCGAAAGGTCGAGGTCTTAGCTGCTGTGGAGATTCGGAGCCCGTATATCTTCTAAGCTCGCGGATTTTGTACACCCCTTAACTGATGCCCTGCAGATCCTGCAGCGCCTTGTAGACATGACTGCAATTCTAGAGGAAACTCCTCCCCCGAAGACGCCGCGTGGAGCATCTTCTATGTCTAAGCCTTTGTTTGGGGACTCAGGGCTTATCGATGTTTAGAAGCCCTACACGTTAAAACCCGGAATCCCAAAAGCCGCTAAGCCCCTTGCCCGCAAGCCACAAACTACGTAGCCTAAACCATATCAGCCTGCATTGATGTCAGCCGGTTGAAAGAGCTGAGGTGGGCCGTGTCCCGGGTACATCCATCGACGATCCAGCTCAGCATGCAGTACCCTGCCCGGCGTTTTGGGTTCTGTAGGGTTTTCGAGCAAGGCTTCTTCATGGGTGCTTTTATTCCGGGCTTTTGGGTTCAAGGTGTCGGGCCAGCTGCTACCCAAGGGCTCAAGGGGCTTAAGTCAAGGGCCCAATGCCAGGACTAGATTCACTTGGCGTTCTTCTGGTTGGCTCTTTGGACTTCAACTTTTTGGGTTTCTTTTTCAACTACAATGAGGAGGCTAAAAGCTTAACTTGTAGGAGGGGTTCAGAAGACACCCAAGACTAGATAATGCCTCCGAGCCAGGCTCGGACTCCTCGGGCCCTCGACGTGCAGCCCGAAAAGTCTCGCCATCGTATTGGGGAATCTAGGGGCCTCAGTGGCTTCTATTTTGGGGTCTCTTTACAAAAGCTGAACAGTAGCAAAAAGGGCACCCTTATTCTGAAGGGGCTAATTGATTACTGGGCAACCTTGCCACGGCCCTGTGGCGATTTAGGCTTGCAGGCACTTGCAGGGCAAAGATTTGCTTATTTGGGGCTCAGTGTCGGTGATTCAAGCCTCTATAGCATCGGGCTTTCTGAGTTTATGAGGACTCGGGTTTCTCTAGACCCCTAAACTCTTAAAACGTCAATCCTTCCAGTTATAAACGTAGATCCTCTACATGGAAAAAAACCCGACCTACGTCGTGAACCTCGGCAACCTTCAACCTTGACCTCCGCACCCTAATGTGTGAACCTGATTAAGAAACCGTGGGCCCATAACCCCCAAAATAGTGGGATTCATATAAGCACCCCTAACAAAGGCCCAAGATTTCTTTAGCAGGTTCCTACATTACACCCTGCACCTCGCAAACCCAAGCTTTCAACCCTCAAATCTACGCACTGGCCCCTTTGATGCCTCTGGGCCCCTCAACCTCCTACACAAACCCTAATCACTTCCATCCTTCATAAAATCCCCCCCCAAGAATAAAAACACAATAAAAACACATTGGGGCGAATCCTCCCGAAACCATCCCTGCCCTTTAAAAACCTATTCTGAATTGGGGGGGGGGGGGGTGGTTTCAGGCCTCCAGAAGGCCCTTCAAGAACAGAAAGCGCTGGACCCTAAACCCTAATACCCCCAAACCTTTTGTTTCTGCGGAGACTTGGGAGCTTGTCGTGTTCAAAAAGGGGCAACTTTCCGAAAGGCGCAGGTGCAACACTGAGCTCAGGAAGGCTCGATTGCGCGGTTGTTTCCGGGAGTGGGCTCGGGCCTCGGGCAATTCCTTTCACGTTGACCGTGCGCACGTTGACGAAGGTGCCGTCATTTCGTGGAGCGTGAAGCTGCTGTTGGTCTCTGCTAGGATCTCTTCTGCCTCGAGACGGCTTCGAGGTTTGTTGGCGCGGGACAAGCGGCAGTACATCGAGGGCTTAGTGGGCGAGGCACGTCGTGCTGCTGAGACCGGCGATTCTAGAGCGTTATGGCACTCGCTGCGCTTTTTCCGTAAAAGCGGCAAATGCAAAAGCGCATTCAGGGCGCTCCCGTTCCTTTTGGATGAGCATGGCCGGGTGGCAGATTGCCTGCAAGCCCAAACCGCGATCAAAGGACGGCATTTTGGGAGCATGGAGGCTGCTTTGCGTTGCGACGCGCGGGAGGCCGTCAACTGTCAGATGGAACCTGTGCAGCAGCGTGGTGACACTTTTGACTTGTGTGACCTTCCTACTCTGTTCGACATGGAACAAGCGATTGTTAAGATGCCCAGGTCCAAGGCCCCGGGGCCGAGTGGTGTGCGCAATGAACACTGGCTTCGCGACCCTGTTGTGAGTGCAAGGGCCTGGTACCCGATATTGCTGAAGACGCATGTGCGGTTGAGCGAGCCGGCACGCCTTGCAACCGGAATCTTGCACTGTCTCTACAAAGGCAAAGGTCTGATGTGTCGTGTTGAAAACTGGAGGTCGATTTTCCTCATGGAAGGCGTCGGCAAGGCCAGTAGGAAATGCTTGAGGGGACCTCTGGTCGATCATTTGATGCGCCACTCATCCCCGATGATGCAAGGTTGCAAGAAAAAATCGTGTAGTGCAGCATTGACTCATTTTGCCATCACTTGGTTGAAAGTGCACAAAGCCAAGAAACATGCTGCAGGCCTTCTGTTCCTGGACTTGAGATCTGCTTTTTACCGTGTCCTGCGAGGCAGGCTCCTTGGAGGTTGTTGGAGCGATGCGGCCATCTGTGACGTCTTGACTCAGATGAAGGTTGACCCAGCCCTCTTCCAAGACATACTCTGTTGGTCCCATGGTCCGTCGTTGCTGGATGGGATGAATGGGCACGTTGGTCGAGTGGTCCGTTCGCTCTTTCGTTTCTCAGCTTTTCTTTTACCACAGGAGGGGGTCATGCATGTATCTCGGTCTGGTTCACGGCCGGGAGACGCCATTGCCGACGTTCTTTTCTCGTTGGTCATGGCGGATGCTATGCAGGCCATTGAGGAGGAGCTTCGGCGGGAATTTCCGTACATGTATGCGGAGCTGGATTTGAGCCCTTCACACCCTGTGTGGGCGGATGATGCTTGTTTCCCTTTCTGGACTGAATGTGCTGGTGATGTGGAGGATGTCGCTACTCATGTTGCCCAGATTGTCCACCTGGAGTGCACTAAGAGGGCTCTGGAGCCCAATTATGGACCTGAGAAGACAGAGTGTCTTTTGGTTCATGGGGGGTCGGGGTCCAGACAGGCGCGCAAGCGTGTTTTCGATGGTCCTGGCCTTTTGACGTTTGTTGCTTCGGGTGCCCAGCACACAGTCCACATCACTTCGCAGTACACGCATTTGGGAACGGTTATTACGGATGACCTTAGTCCCCGAAGTGATATCCAACGCAAGCTCGCAAAAGGTTTAGGGCTTCTGCGACCTTTGGCTTCCAAAGTCTTGAGACGGGCCGATGTACCTCTTGCCAAGAGGAAAGAGATCTGCTTGGCATTGGGACCTTCTGCTGCGGGTTTCAACTGTGAAGTTTGGGGTCACTTGCCTGTTGATGTTGCTGGTGCTTGGGTCAGTGGACATGACAGCATGTACCGCATGCTGTTCCAGGATGATCGATGCACTCATGCTCCCAGACATCCCACAGTCTATGAACTCTGTGGGGCTGCCGAGTTACCGGTGCCCCAAGCCAGGAGGAGCATTGCGCGTATACTACATGCAGGAAGGGTTGTCAGCTTGGACCTCTTTCCGTTGTGGTGGCTTCTTGAGCTTGAAGATCAGCTTGTCGATTCTTCGTGGTTGCGTGAGCTACGGATCGACTTGTGTTGGTTGCGGTACTGGGTTCCGGACTTGAGCGCGCTGCGCTTTGAGAGCATGGAGACTGATGAGCTTGCAGTGTGGCTGTCGGAGTGCAACTTGCGCAAGTTGGTTCGTCAAGCTTGGAAGACGCAAACAGGCACACTGAAAGCTTGGGACCTCTGGCAATTTCAACGGAGGACTGCTGGGCTCATTAGGGGTGTTTCAGGGTCGAAGGCCTCCCCGGACAATGAGACCTTAGTTTGTTCACAGTGTGGCTTCGTCGCTGTTTCAGGTTCTCAGCTTGCGGGTCACGTTGGCAAGGTGCATGGTCATGTTAATGTGGCGTGGCAGTACGTGCAAAGTGCCACCTGTCGCATATGTCTCAAGCATTTTTGGACTCCCCGCCGCCTCTTTGAGCACCTGAACTGTCCGAATGGCTGCCTCGCGCAGGCGGTTGTCATGTTACAGCCAGCTGGCGATTGGGAGCTGTTTGATGACACGGGAGCTTTTGACCCTGGAGAGCGCAGAAATTTCCATAAAGCCCCTGTTGTGAGGAAGGCTGGACCTCTTAGGAATCGTCCTTCAGGTTTCTGTGAGTCGCTTTCTTTCTGCATCTTGGAGGCCAGTACTTTCGAAAGGAGAGCCATCTGCAAGTCAGCCCGTTACTTCTTTCCGGAGAGCGAAGCTCTGGAGATTGCTGTTGAGGCCGCTGAGCCCTCTAAATTGTGCAGAGGTGCTGGTCGTCCCCCTATCATAAACCCTGATGGTAGGGAGTGGATACGACAAGGCTTCCAGCTTTCGACCTAGCCGGCTCTTCTAATTACAGCATGTTTTTGTCAGCCTAAGGGCTGAGGCACGTCCGACGGGACTTCGTCCGCTTGCTTGCTTGCTAATACCCCCCCCCCCCCCGACTTGGAGGTTCATGGTTCCTTTAAGGGTCCCTTTTAAAGGGATCTGTAGGGATTCTATAAGGGTATAGGGTTTAGGGCCTACTTGGGGGTTCATGTTTAGTTATAAGTGGGGTTATAAGTAGGGGTAACTATACGAAAAAATTCATATTGGGGGATTGATAACCCTACTTACAACTACCCATGAACCTCCAAGTAAGCGCCTAAGCAGTAAGCATCCCTCCCTTTCCTCTCTTTCTGTGAGCGAAGCACTCCGGCCTTCCTCACTCTTCTAGACAAAAAGGCTGCCTGCCTGTCTGTTTTGAATCCTTCAAAGGGTCTGGGTGTAGGGATTCTGGCCTTAAACGGCATTCTGAATTACACGGTTTCTATCTTTGCTACAAGGGATTTTTACGTGGTCCAAAAAGGCTAAAGGGTTCAAGAAACGACTCTGAGTTTTAGGGTTTATGGGCTTGAAAGGCAGTACTTACACGAGTTCTAAAAGGCGGGATTTTCATAAGCCCTAGACCCCATATTCCTAGACCCGAAGCCCGAAACCCTCAAAGCCTAAACCTTGAAACCCTAAGCCCGAAAGCTTTGAAACTCCTTAAAAAACCCTAAACTCCCAAACCCTATCTGATGCCTTCTGGGCCGATCGAGGCTCAAGACGCCCTACGAGAGGGCGCTCGCCATTTGTGCCAGTCGCTGGGTCAGTGTTGAGGGTCTAGGGTTTAGGGGATCCCAACAGTATGCAGAAAGCCTTTAGAGGCGTTGTGGGCCACTATTTTGCCTAGGTTTACTTGGAGGTTCATGGGTAGTTAGTGGGGTTATAAGTAGGGTAACTATACTTATAGCTCATGTTAGGGGCTTATAACCCCACTTATAACGACCCATGAACCTCCAAGTAGGTTTAGGGAAGGTTTAGGGCGAGTTTGTCTGTTAAAGCGGGCAGCCGGAAGTTCAGATTCAAGCACTGATGTAGAGGCCTGAGTAATCAACACTACGCAGTACTACTGCTGCTCTTCCGCAGGGTTTCTTACCATTACTACGATCAGGTCAGAAATCCGAAAACCTCCAAGCTTCAGCATTGACGAGTAAGTTTTTAGAGTTTGGGGTTAGAGTTCAATATAGGGATCGAAACAAACAGTATTAGTATTCTCTTACAATCCTTGTCTCATCATAGTATCATACACTTCAGCGTTTCACGACACCGTAAACCCTAAACCCCTTCGGGGTTGTGGGGTTTCAGGGTCCTGCTTGAGGTATGTTTCACGATGAATGTTTAGGGCTTTGAAAGATCCTACGAACTGTGGCGCTGTGTGAGGGGTAGGATTTAGGTCTCAGGGTTTGGCTTCCGAAGTCTCGGGCTGTCTACTTTATGTTTTAGGGTTTAGGGCTTAGGGGGATGTTTGATACTAGCCGGTTTTCAGGGGACTTACGCAAAAACCGTAAACCCAACACCTGAACCCCTAGCCCTTAACTGCTCTAGACCTGCGCCCTAAACTGTTGTCTTTTCGGGCCGAGGGCTCAACAAGCCCTAAGCCATTAAAACGTCAAAGTCCACCTCAACCCCCAAGCCCCTCTAAATCCTAAGCCCTAAACCCCTAGACCCCTCAACCCCTAAACCCCTAAAACCCCTACGAACCACTGAACCCCTAAACCTGGAACTCTTAAACCCTAAACCCCCTAAACCACTGAACCCCTAAACCTCCAAACCCTGCACCAGGTTTCGGCGCTCTGGGCCTCTCCAGTCTGTTCATCTCGTCGATTACCAACACAATGGCGGAGCCTTGGGGCCTTGGGGTCCTGGGAGCTTTGCGGTTTCATTAAAATCCTTTATGGGGTCGTCGGGGTTTTATGGATTCTTGGCTTTCAGGCCTGAGGGCGTGAGTTTTAGATTTCCGGGGTTAGGGTCTAAGGCCATTGAGTTTTGTACCTGGTTCGGGTTTCAGGGTTCAGCATGTCTGGTTTGGGAGTCAAGGGTCTTGGGTTTCGGGATATTGGGTTTGTGGCTTGAGGTTTCTTCGGAGAACCCAATACAATCCAATACCTTATTTAATTAACCGGTGGTTGATCTTCAGGCAAGCAGACATGCTGTCAGAATATGATTGCAAGGAAGTTCCTAGTTTGGGCGGCGTGTGAATCTTGCGTCTTGGTGTGGCGAGGAAGTGGACCTCAAGACCCCTAACATAACGCCAAACCCCAGTTGAAACCTGAGCCTTCAGCCCAAAGCCCCTCAAACCCTAAACCCTAAACCCCTAAACCCTAAACCCTAAACCCAGGCTCCAAGAAGCCCTGAAACTCTGTGCTTGTTCAAGCAGATTCTTCTTCCTTTGCGCGTGTAAGGTTAAAGGGTGCAGGATGGAGAGTAGATTTGGTTGCTTGGGCTAACTCTACAGGCCTGCATACTTGGCATTACTCTTCCTTAGGCATTTACTGCATTTGTTTTAATACTATACCCCCCCCCACACACACACACATCCCTATTCGAATTATTGGGGCCCCTATTTTATTGTTGGGGGTTTGAGGTCGGGTGCACTTCTGCATCCCGTAGCTGAGGGATTTGAAGCTCGGGCTTTGGCAAGCCATTGCCATTCGAGTCATTAGAGACAGAGTGCGCTTCCTGATACAGAACTCTGGTTGAGGAGTTTGATCACAGCTACCATAGCACGAAACTAAAGTCTATACCATATGATATGGTTTCCGTACCATGGTAGTTAAAGTAACCTACTTAACAAGAACCCACTCGGAAGGTCTTATCCCCCCGAGCAAGTAGCCTCTGTCTGCATTTCCCACTTGGGGGTTTCCGAAAATGAGGGGCACCTCATTTTGGGGTCCTCTTAATAAGGATGCTACTATTTCGGGTACTATATGAGGGTCCCCTATGTCCGGAAACTCCCACTTAGAGAAAGCCCCTCAGAGGAGAACGTCAAGGGAAACCGAAGCTGCCTTAGCACCTTTGTAGACTGGGTTGTCCTTTGGGATCTTTTTAATTTCCCCTACTATTCTGTAGAGAAAAATAGTAGTAAATAATTTTCAAATGGCTTAAAGGACAACTCAGTAGAACAATTGAAAGAATCCCGAAAAAGGAATCCGTAAAGAGAGCCATTCAAGAAGACCCTAAATGCCTTGAGCCCAGCCTCGGCGACAGCCTCCAGCTTCACATCGCGAATCCCAAACCCCGCAACTTAGGGTTTAGGGTTTAGGGGTTTAGGTAGGCTTCCTAGACTTCCTTAATGCAGCTATGCCATAACATACCCCACCACCCTGGTGCCCTAAAACCTAGAACCCCAGAGCGAACGCGAGGACACCAGCCGAAAGTTGCAGCGGAAGAACCAGTTGCTGCATTCTGCTGCTCGGCACCATGTACAGCCTTTTGGGGTTCCTTCATAGGTTCCTTTAAAAGGATACTATGAGGGATCTTCAAGGGTACTATAGTATAGGGGCCTTAATAGTTACCTATACTATTTTGGGGCTTCCTTACTATTTATAGTATAATGGGCCCCAAAACCCTATTCTAATTATTGAGGCCCCTATATTACAGCCTGAAGCTCTGAGCCTGAAAACCCCAAACCCTAAACACAACCCTACACCCCTAATTCTGAAAGCTTAGGATCAACCCTAAACAGCTGCCCTACACCCCTACGCCAATACGAAAAACACAAGTCCTAATTAGAACCATGGTTAGGTGACCTTTAGGGCTTTGGATTCACGCTACCAATGTAGGGACTTGAATTTCCAGAAAGATAGTCCTTATGGGTGCCGATTGCAAATTTCCAGTATACAAAACCCAAATATATAACTCAAAACCCTTTCTAATCATTGAGGCACTGATATTCAAGACCGATGCAAGATGCATTCACGGTCCAACTGTCTGCTATATTGATACCTATTCTCGGCCCCTGTGGGATGTCAATCCAACCAGCAGCACACCAGGGAATAGGCTCGACCTTTCTATTCGTTAGTAGATCCTGAGCTGCAGATCCCTAAACCCTAAACCCTAAACCCTACAAAGCTTCAAAGTCCAAGCAAAACATCCTGAGCCTGAAGTTCTTTGTCATCTGGGCTTAGGGGTTCATGGTTCAGAGGGAGGTAGTGCTTTGGGGGCGTTTAGGGTGTATAGTATAGAGTTTAGGGGTTAGGGTTTGGGGGTTTGGGTGTTAGGGGTGTAGAGTTCATTAGGGGTTAAGGTTTTGAGTTTTAGGATTTTTGTATTTTTTCGGTTATTGCCGGCATCAGGTCAGAGAGTACTGCTCGGCGCACTTCATATCCGCGTCCCATGTGCCCTGGACTTGCTATGGCGGAATCATCGACGGTGTGATGATGGCTTTTGGTGTTTTGAGCGGTTTTCGCATTGCTGACGTTCACGCCTATGCCATGGTGTCCTCAGCATATCGTAACTCATAGCATCACCTGTAGCCCCGACCCCGACAAAATAGTAGGTCGCGACCCCGCGTCGCTTAAAGCCTGTTGCAGCCCGCACTTCCTCGATCCGTCCCTGATCCGGGACAAGGTCCCCCGTAGTCTCCCACCGGCCGGCAATTGATCGGGGCCCGGTTCTCCAAATCGAACATTGAAGAAACAAGTGGGTGGTTGTCAAAAAAAGGGTCCCTTTTTGGGTCCCGATTATATTGCGGTACCTAATATTTAGGGTGCCCAAGAAAGGACCCATAATTTTGACAACCAGCCACGTGGTTTAGGGTTTAAGGTTTGGTTGAGGGGTCTATAAACCTTAAAGAGAACCCAGCAGCCGAAACACTCGCGAACCGAGCCCTAGACACCGGAGCCTTAATCGGAAGGGCCCACAGCTTACAGCATGCCCGAAGACAGCAAGCCCTACAGGAACCCAAATGAAATTAGCCGTTCAAGGACTTAGATAAAGAGTCCACAATGAGGAGCCCAAAAACTTTGTCGTGGAAGCGAAGCATCAGTTCACAAATTTTGTTGGAGCCCATACCGCATCCCAAATCACCATAAAGCCGTATGATGACAAAAAACCATAGGCCATATAACCAATTAAAGTACAAAATTGATAAATCCGCGCTTGAAGTGCAAGTTTCGAGCCCATCAGCCTCACACATCCCCGGGATCCCAGAGACGATGCGCATCAACCGACGAAGTCTTGAAACCCTACAGCAGCCTTGTAAATGCTTGCTTAGACCTTATAGAACCGATACAAGGCTCATATAGAGGCCTCATAAAACCCTCACCAAGCGTATAGAAGGCTTCTAAAGTCTCCTACATACCATAGAGGACTGAACAAATCAACGCGCCTCTCATGCAAGGCCCTGATTTTGAGATCTATCATAAAGAGAGCTGCTAGAATCCCTACTTAAAGGATCATGGGACTTAGTAACTAGGGTTATATTTAGGGTAACTATACCTAGGGTGTGGGGATTAGGGGTGATACTTAAAGGATCATGGGACTTAGTAACTAGGGTTATAATTAGGGTAACTAAAATTATAACTATTTATAACCCCAATTAAGTTACTTGTGACCTTACTTACTAAGTCCCATGATCCTCCAAGTAGGCGCCTTTCGAACTCCACCGAAGCCGTCACTTAGATATGGGGCCATGAGCATCGAGCTTCCTGTCAGACCCGCGTACACCCTAGCGGAAGCCTCATAGACCCTTAAGGGAGAACTCCTAAAAGCAACCTACCCTAAACTCAAACCTCAAGCCCCTAAACCCCTAAGCCCTAAAAGCCAAAACTGAAAGCCCCCATAGGCCATGAGCATCAAGCGCTATGTGGAGCGGGAGCACTCCCGGAAGAAGAGTCTACAGACTCAGATGGAGCTGCTCGAGACCTTACCGCAGGACGGCTTCCTTCAAGGGTTCCTCTTTTAGAGTTTAGGGTTTAGGGTTTAGGGTTCCTTCAAGGGCCGAGTAAGGTACCACGGGATCCGACGAATTCATCCCATAACTGTCGTTCCTAAGCGTTTAGAAGTTTAGGGTTTGGGGTTTAGGGTTTAGCCTTAGGGTTTAGGGGTTTAGGGGAGACCTTGCCGCAGGAGGGGTTCCTTCAAGGGTTCCTCTTTCGGGGTTTAGGGGGGTAGGGGGGGCTCCTTCAAGGGCCTAGTAAGGTACCACGGGGTCCGACGAATTCATCCCATAACTGTCGTTCCTAAGCGTTTAGAAGTTTAGGGTTTGGGGTTTAGGGTTTAGCCTTAAGGTTTAGGGGTTTAGGGGAGACCTTGCCGCAGGAGGGGTTCCTTCAAGGGTTCCTCTTTCGGGGTTTAGGGGGGGCTCCTTCAAGGGCCTAGTAAGGTACCACGGGGTCCGACGAATTTTAGAGGGAGCTTTAGGGGTTAGTTTTCAATAGCGCGGGTTAGGAGTTAGTTTTCAGGCGCTTTGCAGTGAATCTAGGGTTCCTTCAATTAAGGGTGCTCTTTTCCTTTAATTAAGGACATTAAGGATGCTCTTCAAACCCTAAAGTCTAAATTTCCGGGCTACAGGTTCCACTCCCTAAGCCCTATAAACCCGGTACAGGGAAGGGCCAGGGGTGCTGGGCTTTGCGAGCTTTGGCATCCCGTAACTTTCGTTCCTAAGCCCTACACCCTTAAGTTCCTGGGTAGTTATAAGTGGGGTTATAAGTAGGGTAACTATACTTGTAACTCATATTATATAGGGGACTTATAACTACGCATGAACCTCCAAATAAACCCCTGAAACCCTTAAATCCTAAACCCCTTCAGCCCTTCAACCCTGAAACCGGGTAGCCCTAAACGAACCCCGAAACCCGAAACCCGCAACGCTAAGCCGCAGGGGTTTCGGGGTTAGGGGTTTAGGGTTTAGGGGTTATAGGGGTTTAGGGGTTTAGGGTTTAGGGTGTGCAAGTCTCACACATCAACCCAGAAGCTACATCTCGTGAACCCTGAAACCAATTTGCGAGCTTTCAAATGACCCCATGCAGACTCAGCTGACTCCTCGAAACCCTTTATGGCACCTTATGAAACTCTTGTAACGCCCACCTTTTCGGTCAGAACCGTATAACATCTCTGAAAATGAAACAGAGCAGCCTACAAGGTTCTGATTTCGACAGCTGGAACGACCCTTGTGAAGTCACACAGCCCCAAACACATGGAACTGCAAAATGGCAGGAAAGTCCTGCAACTTCTGAACCCTGAGTTCTAAACCCAACAACCCATAGCCTGCCCAAACCTGGGCTTTTGAGCTCCAGCGACAGAAAAGGCCCTCAAAAAAACACCCAACAACCCTGAAGTCGACAACCCTAAACTAAGCCCTAAAACCTGCACAACCCTGAACCCTAAGATCAACCCTAAAACCATAAATAATCCCTAAACCCTACCTGCACCCTGAAGAACCTGCCTTTTTAAGGGTTTATATAAGGAAATCATCAAAAGGAGCCCTAAAACGGTATAGGTTCTTTAGGGCCCAGGTAACTCCCCGAAACGCCCACGCCACTATATAAACCCTACCTAAATCTATAAACCCTAACCTCTACAGGGAACTCCAGAAAGTTGGAATATGGTTTCATGGTAGGATACCCTATAATTTACCATAGAAGGGTTAGGATAATGATATTCCAACTTTCTGGCTTTTACCTTATAAACCCCCTTTGTTGTCCGACAGGAGATCCTGCGCGAGCTCTTCCACGAGGCGCGATGCCAGGCGCTCCAGCAACTTGGAGTTGACGTACTGGGTTGGGATTTTTAGGGTTTGGGTTTAGGGTTGTAGGGTTTAGGGTATAGGGTATAGGGTAGGGTTTGGGGATATTTTTTGTGTCGCGGCTTCTAGAGGGTTTTATCGAAGGTTCTAAAGGTTTTTAAATTATTGTGGTTTTTTAATCATTGTTTTGGAGGATTTTGGGGTTTATATGTGCCCGCGCTCCGCGTTCTCGACCCCCCCCCCCCCCCCCAAATGGTATCCCCCCCCCCCCGACCCGGGCGACCACACAACAAGAACAAGAACAAGAACAAGAAGAAGAACAGCAGCAACAACAAAGCAGCAGCAACCACGCGGAGGAACCACAGGAACCACAGGGGGGGAGGGGGGAGACAGGAACCAGAAGAACCACAAAAGGGAGGGGGAAAACCAAGAGGAACCACAGGGGGGGGGGGGAACCACAGGAACCACAGGGGGGGGGTGAAACCATAAACCTCTAAAGGGGTAGCTCTAACAGGTACCTACAGCAATGGCTGCATGCTCATACATATACATTCCGCTGCCCATTGGCTCACAGTGGTTTTACCATATTGAGACAAGACAAGCTCTCCTTGCGTAGCAAGACAAAACAACTACTGTCCGTGTGCAGGGCGCTGCCCTTTGATCCTTAGGGAATAACTGGTCATACACCTCCTCACAAGGAGTATCCCTTGGGGGTGTATCGGCACAGTTTTCTGGTAGCGGAGCCCGGAAAGGGCCGCCCGCCTCACAAAGTCCGCTACAGCGGTCGGCCTCGCCGAACGCTTAACCAAGCGGATAAGAGGCAGCACAATGTCGAGCTCGCATAGCGAAGCCGACGGCAGTTCCCAATCCTCCGGGGGATATGAGAACGAAGAGACCTCCCAAGGTCCAGCTACTTATGTCGCACAGTCATATGCAACATCTGACCGCATGCTTGCATCATTAGGCATAACGCCCAAGATCGCGCCTGCCTATGATGGCACCACCTCGTGGTTTGAGTATGAACAGTTGATTGACGACTGGTGCGACATAACAACGCTGGATGACACCAAAAGAGGTCCGTCTCTCAAGACGAGGCTCTCCGGATTGGCCGCAGTACAAAAAGAATCACTCAACCGAGAAAGGCTTGCAGCCCCAGATGGAGTAGATTACTTCAAGAAGAAGATGCGTCCATTTTTCGTGAAAGGAGAACAGTACGTTTTCCTGTGGCGTTTCCTCGGCCTATTCAAGGCATGGAAGGGCAACCAAGACTTTGTGACTTGGATTGCTAAGTTTGAGATCGTGCTACAGCGCGTGAAAAACTCATGGATGGATCTCTTACCAGAGATAGCTCTGGAAGATGCCCATCCAGATTTCATGCAGCTGTGCAGGCAGATCAAACCTTCTTGCGCCTACAGGATGCAACCGAGAGAGACACATACGCCGCACGTTTCTTCGAAACATGGAACAAGGAACGCCTTGATAATCATCGAAGAGCGTTTCCTCTAAATGATAATCTCCTAGCTCTTCTCTTCCTAGTGCAGTCCGACCTAAATGAGATGCAACGTGAGAGGTTGGTAACAGCATTGACCAACCAAGGTCACCGAATTGAGACCTATACGTACCCTGTGGTACGGCAGACCATGTTCGATCAGTTCTCAACGACCAGAACTGGTCTGCAGGATCCCAACATTCGGCACTCTTCTCACAAGAAGGACCGCCATGGAAGGAGAGACCAACGCCGCAAACGCGGAGGTCGAAACTTCCTCATCCTCGATC